CCTTTTCTGCGTCAGCCCTCAACTATTGAAAGACTGCTATCATGTCACCCTTAGCTGTTCTCTGCATTAAATTACACATACCCAGTTCCTGCACCCACTCATCGGATATTTTAGCCTCCGGTCCCCTATATCTTTCTTGCTCTTTTCTGTGCACGATGTCTCAAAATCTTTTTTATATCACGGTGACTAAAACTGGATGCAATATTGCAAATGTGGTCTTACTAAGGTTTTATAAAACGATACTAATACTTCACGTGATCTTGATTCTATCCCTCTGTTACTGCAGCCCACCACTGCCTTGGCTCTATTAACAGCTGCCACACAACTGCTGGCTCACATTGAAGTGATTGTCCACTCGGATTCCAAGATCCCTCTTACAATTACTGCTATTGAGAATATTGCTCTTGTATAGCTGTGCAGATGGTAGATACAGAACTTTGACAAGACCAAGTCTGTGATTTACAGATAGTCCTCGCCTTACGACCAGCCATTTAGCAACCATTCAAAAAACAATTTATGACCCAGATTTGAACTTCTGAGGATTGGGGGGAAGGGGCCTCCACCCACGGTCACATGACATTTTGGGTGCTTGGCAACCAGCCTGCAGTTGTGGCCTTTCATAGCATCCTGCAGTCACATGACCATGATTTACATTTTTGCCAGAAACCCATGCTTCTATCCCTAGTGAACAATGGGTTTGCTTAGTGATTGTAGCATTCACTTAACAACTGCAGTGTTTGAATGAAATTGAATCAACTGGGTAGGGAATCTATGAGTCACCAGAAAAAGGTGTATGCAGAAGTAAACTCAAGTGCCCCACTGACCACTCAGTAACAGTAACAGAGTTGGAAGGGACCTTGGAGGTCATCTAGTCCAACTCCCTGCTCACGCAGGAGATCTATACTAGGGATTTGAACCACCGAACTGCCGACCTTTCTGATTGACAAGCTCATTGTTTTAGCCATTGAGCCACTTAAGTCAGGCTGCGCCACCTAGTCAGGCTGTTTTTTTTACAATTGTTGCATGCGCTTAACAACTGCCACCAAATAGGTTGTAGAACTGGGCACATTGTGTGGTGACCCATTAATGACCATCATGACTGTAATTGCAGGCTAAATTACAGTTGTAAATCAAGGATTTCCTGCATTTCCAATGTTGGTTTAATCCAGGTCATTGAAAAGCTACCCAGATGTTAAGATCTTAACAGTGTATCTGGAAAGGAACTAAGCTAATACAGGCAGTCCTCCACTTATAAGTTCATTTACTGACTGTTCAAAGTTACGCTGACACTGAAAAAAGTGACTTATGACCATTTTTCACACTTATAATCTTGGTAGCATCCCTATGAACAGTGATCAAAATCCAGATGCTTGGCAACTGGTTCATACTTATGACCATTACTGTGTCCCAAGGTCAGGTGATCCCCTTTTTGCAACCATTTGAAAAGCAAAATCAATGGGGAAGCCAGATTCACTTAACAACCATAGTACTAAATTATCAACTGCAATGATTCACTGTAGGAAGGAAGGTCATAATATGGGGTATAACTCACTTAACAAATGTCTCACTTAACAATGCAACTTTTGGGCTCAATTGTGGTCGTAAGTCAAGGACTACCTGAAATTTTGACTGGTGGAAAAAGACTGTGTTTTCTTGCAGCAAGAGTCTCTTCTGACACACCTGACAAGGTTTGGGGATTGTGCATTTGCACATAAACCAAGGATTATTGCACATCGCAACAACTGATTTTGTCAGTTGGAAAGCTGTCAGCCTGGGTTTGAAACCCGAGCACCACATGACAGGTTGAGCTCTCGTTACTTGCTCCAGCTCTTGTCCACCTAGGAATTCAAAAGCTTGCAAATGTGAGTAGGGTCAACCACTATGATATCTTCTTAGCACCAGCAGCATAAAACTAGCACCGGCGGAGCTAAGAAGAAATCATAATAGTTTATGCTGGCTGGGGCGAAAGTATTGCCATGGAAACAAAAGAGATTGGATTTCTTCTTCTTGATTGTGCCACGTGGCCCACCGAGGGAATGGCCTTCTCTACTCTGACTTCCTGAGCTCATCAAAATGTAAGTAAACCAGTTTAGGACCAGTTTTGGACACTTTTTTGGGTTTACAGTTATAACAGAGGTTAACTAAAGTTAATCCCTAGGAGAACTTGTTCCAAAATGGAATTCTTATTGCAAATACATTTTTTTTTTCGTATTGCTTTAAATCTGGGCTGTAAAATGAATTCTGCCTAAGGAAGCGGGGTTGGTTGGGAGATCATTTTACAATCATGTTGGTAAAACTTTCCAAGAAGCTGAACGGGTTAAAAGCACAAGGTTCAGCAGCTAGAGTAGATCCAGAAATGTAGACTCCTCTTAGTGCATTCCTTTTCCTGTAGCTCCTTTGGATAAAACTTTGAGTTTGGTGTTGCCGTTTTTTAATTTTGCTGGGCGAATCTCAACAGTTCGGAAAGGGTAAATTTAATTTGAAACCTTTCAGAAAATGATCAGATCAGAAAACAAGAAATCCAGGAAGGGGGAGTGGGGGGGGAGGTTAAAGGGAAATTATCCTTGAGTAAATAATTTCTTTTTTAAAAAACTGCACCTATTTAACGCTCTCCTGGTAAAGGAGAGGATACAACAGTTGGTCCTTGCAGAGCTCTCTCTTCCTATAGAAAATTGAACCTCCATGTTCAAGCATAGCACACAGCTCCGCAATCCAGGTGCGGGGAAAGGCATAAAAGGACGGCGTGGAGGCGTCACGCGTGTGGGGGAGGGACAAAAGGACAAAAAGAGCATCGGGGTATTGAGTTGCAAGCGGCGTCTCTTTCTTCGATGAATCGTGACACGATCCCGCGGAGATTCGAAAGGGGCGGGGCACAATCTTAAATCTGAACATGGGGGTAACATTTTTTAACTTCTGTTTTGGCATTGGAAATGGGTGCTGTAAAACTCTTATATGGGGAGGTGGTTAGAGGTTAAGTTACGTGCAACTGCATTGATCAGTGTAAATTATGCTGACTGTTGAAATCTCCACATCTTTACATTGCTAAGAATATAGAATCATAGGGCTGGAAGGGACCTTGAAGGTCTTCTAGTCTAACTCCCTGCCTGAGGCAGGAAACCTTATGCCATCTGTCAAATGGTTGTCCAATCTATTTTTGAAAATCTAGTGATGGAACACCCACAACTCCCAAGAGGCAAGATATTCCATTGATTAATTCTTCTCACCATCAGAAAATTTCTCCTTACTTCTAGGGTGGATCTCTCTTTGACAAGCTTCCACCCATTAGTTCTTGTCCTACCGTCTGGTGCCCTAGAGAACAAGTCAATCCTCTCTTTGTGACAGATCCTCAAGTGTATTGGAAGAGGAGCTATCACGTCTCCCTTAACCCTTCTCTTTGAGTCTAGGATATCCCATGCTCTGCCTCCTGCCCCTTGGTTTCCCCAAAGCCATGTGGGCCTTCTCCATACTCCACCCCATTACCATTTGCTGACTTACATTTTGATGAGCTCAGGAAGTCAGAGTAGAGAAGGCCATTCTCTCGGTGGGCCACGTGGCACAATCAAGAAGAAGAAATCCAATCTCTTTTGTTTCCATGGCAATACTTTCGCCCCAGCCAGCATAAACTATTATGATTTCTTCTTAGCTCCACCGGTGCTAGTTTTATGCTGCTGGAGCTAAGAAGATATCATAGTGGTTGACCCTGGCTGTGGAGGGGAAAGGACTGGCATGGAAACAAAAGTGATGGGGTTTCTTCTTTGCTCTACCAGCAAAAGACTAGAGTAAACCTAGCGCTGATAGCGAGAAGAAGAAATCCGATCTCTTTTGTTTCCATGGCAATATTCTCCTCCCCAGCCAGGGTAAACCACTACGATCTCTTTTTAGCGCTGCCACCATAAAATTAGTGCTGGTGGAACTAAGAAGAAATCGTAGGAGCTTATGCTGGCTGGAAAGGAAAGGATTGCAATGGAAGCAAAATAGACATGATTTCTCCTTAGCGCCACCAGTGCTAGCTGTATGCTAGTCTTACACTGGTTGAGCTAAGAAGAAATCTCATAAACAAGCATCTAATAAACAAGATTCTTCGATGTGCTGAGATGGACAGGTTAACGTATATCTTTAAAAGATAAGAAAGACTCAGTATATAATAGAAGTTGGGACAGATGCTTTGTCTGGCTTAAAAGAAGGTTAAACCTAGGAGAAGGGTGATAAGATTGTCTAATTAGATTATCTAGATATTTACTAGGCTGTATAATTCTTTATACTTTTGATAAAAATAGGTCAATTGTTTTGTAGATAGTTAAAAGAACTTGAGTGCACTGAAATGTTTGGCTAGGCTGATATTAGTATTAATTGGAGAGTGAGCTTAACTCTCGGTTAGTCATGTTTGTTGTCTCCTTTTAGTTTTGTGTTTATGTGTTTCTATATTTCACTTCTTATATTGTTTTCTAACCCTTATTGTGTGTTAATTTTACTGTAAATATTTAATAAAGATATTTTTATTAAAAAAAAAGATATCATAGTGGTTGATCCTGGCTGGGTGGGGAAAGGACTGGCATGGAAACAAAATAGATCGTAAGTCTTATTCTTGATTCTGCCACGTAGCTCAGTTGACTTCTTGAGCTCGTCAAAAATAAAGTAAGTGAATGAAGAAGGGGAGTGAGGTTGGGGAGCAATACCTGGAAGCAAAGATATTGACAAAGCAGGCCAATGTACTGTGGTCTGGGGCCTCTGAGGACTGACCAGGGAAGATGTTTGGGAAATAGTTGGGTGGGTATGCTGCAGCCTCTCTGCAGCTGGTTGATGGACCATTGGGGGGAGGGGCTGCAAAATTTTAACTTTGAAACAGATTCGTATTTAGCATTGGGTGTGTGGTTGTAGTAACTTTGAACTTTTGTTGAATGGCCTGTTTTACCTCAAGGATTACCTGTACTACTTTTTTTCACATCTTCTGCAACCTTTTTATAAACAACAAAACTCACACTTTCATTTGAATCTTACAGACAAAGATGCCAATATAACAACACTGGACAACTGAGAATAATAAGCAACATTGAAAAGCAAAGCAAATTGAAGCAGAAATAAAAAAAAATATTTTCCATTTCCTTCAGAAAGCCTATTGTGGGAAAAGTACAGAGTTCAAATCACAAGAGGATCCACACTGGAGATCAGCCATATAAATACTGTGATTGTGGCAAAAGCTTTGGTCAGAATAGCTCCCTTGTGATTCATAGAAGGATCCACATAGGACAGATGACCTACAACTGCTCCCAATGTGGTAAATGCTTTCGCAAGCATGACAACTTTGTGATACATCAGCGGACTCAAACCAGGGAGAAGCCATACAAGTGTCCAGATTGTGGGAAAAGTTTCATTGCAAATTCCCACCTGGTGATACACCAGAGGACTCACAAAGGAGAGAAACCCTTTGAATGTCCTGCATGTGGGAAAAGCTTCAGTCAAAATTCACACCTGGTGATACACCAGAGGACTCACACAAGAGAGAAACCCTTTGAATGTCCTGATTGTGGGAAAGGTTTCAGTGTCAATTCCAGCCTGCTGATACACCAGAGGACTCACAGAGGAGAGAGACCCTTTGAATGTCCTGATTGTGGGAGAAGTTTCAGTCAAAATTCCAGCCTGGTGAAACACCAGAGGACTCACACAGGAGAGAAACCCTTTGAATGTCCTGAGTGTGGGAAAGGTTTCAGTCAGAGTTCCCACCTCATTGGCCACCAGAGAACTCACACAGGAGAGAAACCCTTTGAATGTCCTGAATGTGGGAAAAGTTTCAGGCAGAATTCCAGCCTGATGAAACACCAGAGGACTCACACAGGAGAGAAACCTTTTGAATATCCTGAATGTGGGAAAAGTTTCAGTCTCAATTCCTACCTGGTGATGCACCAGAGGACTCACACCGAAGAGAAACCCTTTGAATGTCCTGATTATGGGAAAGGTTTCAGTGTCAATTCCTACCTGGTGATACACCAGAGGACTCACACAGAAGAGAAGCCGTACAAGTGTCCGGATTGTGGGAAAGATTTCAGTATTTCGTCTAACCTTTACACACAGGAGAGAAACCTTTCCAAATGTCCATCTTGTGAACAATGCTTTAGGCGTAAATAATCTCCGATTGCTCACAAGAAAATGCACGAGGCAAATATTTAGTTTAGAGTTTAGAGAAAGTTTAGAGAAAGCTTGAAATTCATTTCTGATCTCCCATTTGGAGTATAGATGAGAAATTGATTATTTAAATTCTGGCCTGATTCTTTTTAGTCAAGAGATCTCAGGATTAGACCTGTAGGTGGAGAGAGAAAAATGGAAAATATTAGTTTGATAAAGGCTAACTACCTGTTTCTGATTATCAGCAGTACTTTCTGGATGTTTGCATTTGCAGAAGTCGTGGAATTTCTGCAAACAGGCCTTTGGGTGGTGTTTTTTGTATTTTGATTATGGAATTATGGATTATGGATTATGACATGTGGAGTTTCAGCCTTCTATGTTGGTGAACTCCAGATTTTGAACCTCACAATTTTCCAGCCAGCATACAAGTAATCCTTGAGATACAACTGTAACGAGAACTAACTATTATGGATGCATTTAGCAATGGCGACAGTGCTTTGGTTAACTAATCTCATCCCATGCTGTCTGTTATACAGCTATTAAATGAATGTGCAAGTTGCTAAATAGGACACTGGCTACCTCAGTGTTCAGGAAAAGTCTCCGAGGCTTAGCCCAGGCCCAGGCTTGCTCGCTTCCCCCCAGGCATCCCTAGGCCTCCTCCACCCCACCCCACCCCACCCCCCACCAAGACACCTATTGCTGTGGTTCCCAACCCTTGGTTCCCCCAAGGCAGGGGTGAAATGCTACCGGTTTGCTCCGGTTCGGGGGAAGGCCTCCCCCCACAGGCCTCTGCACAGAGTATCACCCCAGGCCTTTTCCCACTCCCACTGGCTCCCTGCAGGCCTTAGGCCATTTTGTCACGGGGCCTTCCAATTACGATTACACCTTGCAGCAGCTGTTAAACAAGACTGTTTTGCTTAATTGCAGACTTAGGCTTTCCTTCCAAAGGCCTCCCGTAACCCATCTCTTAGGTCTCCCCAGGCCTCTCCATCCCTCACAGAGTCTCCCCAGGCCTCTTTCATAAAACAGGGTCCCTGTAGTCCTTAGGTCGAATTCCAACCCTACCAGGCCTCATAGCATCCTCCTCTTTATCTTTTGAAGACATCTGAACCTTATATTGGGGGAAGGAGGGTAGGACGCAAATCTCTCGGCTGTATGACTATTTCATGGAAACAGCCGTTATTTTCACTGTGCCTGGGATTCATTGCTGGGCCCTGAGGTGGACTTCTAGAAGTGGCTGCCATTTTGCCACGACTGCCTCAGGGCCAACATTGCTTCCACTTCTGGGTCATTGTCATGCAGGAGAGGGAGATGTACAATGGAAAATGTTTCATTTTAAAAAACGCATTGTGTAAGAACAATACTTTTTTTTTTGCCAAATCATTTTTTATTTTAAAACAAAAATAAAAGAAAAATAGAATATACAAACATCATTTATTCAATCAAGTACAGATAGTACATCGGTCGGTTTGCATCTCTAGTGCCCTCTCCTCTCTTCACAATATCACTACATATCCAAAACTTATTCTTATGTAAAATATATCAGTTGTATCATCATTTAAAGTATTTCAGCATTTACTTATATATCACCATTTTTTATTATCTACCCAATGATAAAATAAATCCCATATTAAATAATATTGTTTTTCTTCCTGCTCTCTTAATTCTAATGTCAGTTTACTCATTTTGGCACAGTCCAACATTTTCCTAATGATTTCTTATCTGGAGGTATCATTTCTACTTTCCAATTTTTAGCAAATACAATTCTAGCTGCTGTTAGAAGATTCACAATTAAATACTGCAGTTCTTTGTTATATATTTCTGTTATATATTAGTATTATTATGAGGAGTGCACTTCCTTATCGATAAGGTCTCTCCTTTTTTTATTTTTACTATGCTAATAATGAACTTTACTGATTCTGGTATTTTCCAGCTCTTTCTTCCTGTCTGACTTGCATAAAGGAGGGATACAGTGTTAAAAATGGCTTCAAACTACTCTCAGTACCATTACAAGGATGGGAAGTTTTTGAAACATTTAATATGATATAAATCTTCTTCTTGTTGTGCCATATCCGTCATAAGCCATTGGCAATCATGTTGGGGATCCTCTTTTTATCAATAGCCGCACGAAAAAGTGCTGCTGAATTTTGTCCAAACCATTCCCTTAGATTTTGAAGCCATGATGTTCTTCTTCTGCCTGGAGCTCATTTGCCTTCAATCTTTCCCTGGAGGATTAAATGAAGTGTGCCGTATTTTTCTGGGTGTCGCATCACATGTGCAAAATATCCCAACTTTCATTTTTTAATTTTAATGGTTTTTTTAATGGTATAAATAGGTGCCTCAAAAGATTAGTCAGATTAACATTGATCCTTTGATAACATTTCATCAAAAAAGGACTACAGGGTAATGTATAGGAATTAATGGCTAAAACTAAAATTTCATGTTCATGGATATTCCAGAGGAAAAATTGCAGACTACAGGAACCATGTTCACTTTTAACATTTGGAATTAACCACAGATACATTTTCTCAACTTCCAAAATGTCTGAATAGCTTATATTTACATCTCCACCCCAGACCACCCCAATGATGCCCTTGAAGTGATGTCCTGGTGCCTGGAGGCCGTGCGGGTCTGGATGGGGAGGAACAGGCTCCGACTCAATCCCTCCAAGACTGAGTGGCTGTGGTTGCCGGCGTCCCGATATAGCCAGCTGGTGCCATCGCTGGCTTTTGGGGGCGAGACATTGGCCCCCACGGAGAGGGCGCGTAACTTGGGTGTCCTCCTGGATGCACGGCTGTCTTTAGAAAAGCATATGACGGCCGTGGCCAGGGGGGCTTTCTATCAGGTCCACCTGATACGCCAGTTGCGCCCCTTTCTGGATCGGGACTCCTTATGCACGGTCACTCATGCCCTCGTCACTTCCCGCCTGGACTACTGCAATGCTCTCTACATGGGGCTCCCCTTGAGGAGCACCCGGAGGCTCCAACTGGTGCAGAATGCAGCCGTGCGGGTACTTATGGGGGCGACATGGCGCACCCACGTAACACCTCTCCTGCGCGAGCTGCATTGGCTTCTGGTGGTCTCTCGGGTGCGCTTCAAGGTATTGGTTCTCATCTTCAAAGCGCTCCATGGCTTAGGGCCCGGTTATTTACGAGACCACCTTCTGCCACCGATAACCTCCCACCGGCCAATACGCTCCCACAGAGAGAGTCTCCTCAGGGTGCCGTCGGTCAGGCAATGTCGGCTGGCGACCCCCCGGGGTAGAGCCTTCTCTGTGGGGGCACCCGCCCTCTGGAATGAGCTACCCCCAGGGATACGACTGATCCCGGACCTCTGGGCCTTTCGCCGGGCTCTGAAGACTTTTTTATTTCAGCAAGCCGGGCTGGCTTAAAAATTTTTAATTGGTGAATTTTATGGGTAAGGGGTTTTAAATTGGGGGAAGCCAACATAGATTTAATTTTGTTTTAAAGTATTTTAATGTTTATACTGTATGTTTTTGGCTGTTCACCGCCCCGAGTCCTTCGGGAGAGGGGGCGGTATAAAAATAAATAAATAAAAATAAATATTTAAGCAAATACAAAAGAGCCTTTTCCAACTTTCCAACTTGTTACTTCCTCCCAGGGTTACTTTCCATTACCTGATTTGGGGTAGGTGGGGGGAGACAGTAATATGATTTTTTTAAAAAAGAATACAGGGTTAGTTTTCTTTTTTCTGCTTTAGTCTTTAAAATTGCTTTGTCTGTTTTAACAGTATAATCAATTGTGAAAGTTATTTTCAAATTTCCCACAACTATGATTGATATTTTGTTAACAGTGGGAGAAAGTAGTGCCTAAATTTAGGATAACTTAGGCAGCACAGAGAAGTAGTGGCAATTATATAGTTGAGTACTACCTGTATTGCACTTTACTAAAGATAAAGGTTTCCCCTGTTCAGTCATTTGTGACTCTGGGGGATGATGCTCATCTCTGTTTTTTAGCCAAGGGAGCCAACATTGTCTGAAGATGCTTCTGTGGCCTTGTGGCCAATATGACTATATGCTTTTGTGTATGGAATACTACCTTCCCACCAAAGTGGTACCTATTTATCTACTCGCATTTGCAAACTTTTGAACTCTTCAAAAGATGGACAGGAGCTGGAGCAAGTAATGGGAGCTCAACCTGTCATGTGGTGCTCGGGTTTCAAACCCAGGCTGTCAGCTTTCCAACTGACAAATTGAGTTGTTTTGCTGCACAACAATCCTTGGTTTATGTGCAAATGCATAATCCCCAAACCTTGTCAGGTGTGTCAGAAGAGACTCTTGCTGTTGGAAAACACAGTCTTTTTCCACCAGTCAAAAGAACTAGAGAGTCAAGGGATTGAGATAGATTGGTATACAAGATTGCAAATACAATCAAGATATGAAGCAGATCCTAGACAATATGGCTTTAACTTGGGGAAATCAGAACTGGATGAAATATTGACAGGAACAGATGAGAAAATGATTAAAAAATTATATAATTATTTATTGCGTATTAGACTAGAAGATGAAGAAATAAAAGAAACAATGATAGCATGGGCAAAGAATTTTGGATACACCATAGAATTGGATAAATGGCAACAACTTTGGGAAAAAAATTATAAATTAACAATGGCAACAGCCTATAAAAAAATCTGTATAAGATGTTTTATAGACGGCATATGCCACCAGAAAGGTTAGCTAAGATGTTTAAAGATAAATCAGCCAAGTGTTGGAAATGTCACCAGTTGCCGGGATCATATTATCGTATGTGGTGGTTGTGTAAAGAAGCAAAACAATATTGGGTGAAAATACAAACATGGTTAGAGGGAATGTTGCAGCAACATATAGAGTTAAAACCAGAGATATTCTTATTGGGAATTTTACCTGAGAATTATAGTAAAAAAGATACATATTTGATTATTCATATAATAACAGCGACTAGAATTGTATTTGCACAAAATTGGAAAGCAGATAAAATCCCGTTGGAAGAAGAAATTATAAAGAAAATTTTAGAATGTGCAGAAATGAATAGATTAACATTGAGAATAAAAG